CACATCCCATCACATCCCCATACCATCATCCCATCACATCCCAGTACATCATCACATCCCATCGCATCATCACATCCCATCGCATCATCACATCACATCATCAGATCACATCATCACATCCCAGTACATCACATCCCAATCCCATCGCATGATAACATCACATCATCACATCACATCATCACATCACATCATCAGATCCCATCACATCATCACATCCCATCCCATCATCACATCCCAGTCCCATCACATCATCACATCCCAGTCCCATCGCATCATCACATCCCATCACATCACATCATCAGATCCCATCACATCACATCATCACATCCCAGTCCCATCGCATCGTCACATCCCATCGCATCCCAATCCCATCACATCATCCCATCCCATCCCATCCCATCACATTATCACATCCCATCCCATCATCACATCCCACCACATCATCACATCCCAGTCCCATCGCATCGTCACATACCATCGCATCCCAATCCCATCACATCATCACATCCCATCCCATCATCACATCCCACCACATCATCACATCCCAGTACATCATCACATCCCATCCCATCACATTATCACATCCCAGTACATCATCACATCCCATCCCATCCCATCACATTATCACATCCCAGTACATCATCACATCCCATCCCATCACATTATCACATCCCAGTACATCATCACATCACATCATCAAATCACATCATCAGACTCCAGTACATCATCACATCCCATCGCATCCCAATCCCATCACATCATCCCATCCCATCCCATCCCATCACATTATCACATCCCATCCCATCATCACATCCCACCACATCATCACATCCCAGTCCCATCGCATCGTCACATACCATCGCATCCCAATCCCATCACATCATCACATCCCATCCCATCATCACATCCCACCACATCATCACATCCCAGTACATCATCACATCCCATCCCATCCCATCACATTATCACATCCCAGTACATCATCACGTCACATCACATCATCAAATCACATCATCAGACCCCAGTACATCATCACATCGCATCATCACATCATCATATCACATCACATCCCAGTACATCATCACATCCCAGTCCCATCGCATCATCACATCCCATCACATCACATCATCAGATCCCATCACATCCCATCCCATTCACATCCCAGTCCCATCGCATCGTCACATCCCATCGCATCCCAATCCCATCACATCATCACATCCCAGTACATCATCACATCCCATCGCATCATCACATCACATCATCAGATCCCATCACATCATCATATCCCAGTTCATCATCACATCCCAATCCCATCATTACATCCCATCACATCGTCACATCCCAGTACATCATCACATCGCATCATCACATCACATCATCAGATCCCATCACATCATCATATCCCAGTTCATCGTCACATCCCATCCCATCATCACATCCCATCACATCGTCACATCCCAGTACATCATCACATCCCATCGCATCATCACATCACATCATCAGATCCCATCACATCATCATATCCCAGTTCATCATCACATCCCATCACATCATCACATCCCAGTTCATCATCACATCCCATACCATCATCCCATCACATCATCACATCCCAGTACATCTTCACATCCCATCGCATCATCACATCCCATCGCATCATCACATCACATCATCACATCCCAGTACATCATCACATCCCAATCCCATCGCATCATCACATCACATCATCACATCACATTGCATCATATCACATCATCAGATCCCATCACATCATCACATCCCAGTCCCATCCATGATCACATCCCAGTCCCATCGCATCATCACACCCCAGTCCCATCGCATCATCACATCCCATCACATCACATCATCAGATCCCATCACATCCCATCCCATCATCACATCCCAGTCCCATCGCATCGTCACATCCCATCACATCACATCATCAGATCCCATCACATCCCATCCCATCATCACATCCCAGTCCCATCGCATCGTCACATACCATGGCATCCCAATCCCATCACATCATCACATCCCATCCCATCACATCATCACATCCCAATCCCCATCATCGCATCACATCTTCATATCCCATTACATCATCACAACCCAATCCCATCATCACATCCCAATCCCATCGCATCATCAAATTCCAGCACATCATCCCATCACATTGTCACATCCCAATCCCATACCATCATCACATCCCAGCACATCATCACATCCCATTACATCATCACATCATCACATCCCAATCACAGCACTTCATCACATCCCATCACGTCGTCACATCCCATTACATCATCACATCCCATCGCCTTGCATCAGCACATCATTACATTATATCACATCGCAACACATGACATGGCATCAATTCACATCCCATGGCATTAGCACAAATTGCATCACATCATCGCATCCCATCAAATCACATTGCATCCCATCGATTCCCAATCCATAACATGACATCAAATCTTTATATACTGTATACATGGATTATACATCATTTATGAAGTGTTTTTCTGAAACGTTATCAGCCTGACGTTCCTTTTTGAAAGGTAGCTACTTGTATCAGAATGTTCAGAGAACATTAAATTGTATCATTCTTCAATCATTATAGGAAGGTTACTTTCAGAGAAAGAAGAATGATTACATAAATGGAATGTTCTCTGAACTTTCTGAAAAGAGTAACATTTGTTTTAAACTGGCGAACATCCAACTAAAATTGTTTCAGAAAAATTGTTTCATGAATTATGTATAAATAATGTTTTTGTGCTAACAAAGAACATTCCTAAAGACCAGATGACTTTGAGCGAATGTTCTATCAATGTTACAGGAAGAACGTTTGTCCACAAAATTTTAGAGAACCTTGTTAAAAGAAACTTTGCATATTGTTACACAAATACAGTTCGAGCTCAGATCAAGATTAAAGTCTAAACTCATACATCCTGGGGTTTTTCAGTGGTCTACACACATGCTGAAGAATTCGCGGCATTCGTCTGACTTGTCTAAACCTGCGCAGGAATAAGCGCTCACACACACACACACACACACACTGGAACGGGCGCGCGCACCTGGGATCTGCAGCAGGGAGTCGTAGACTTTACACTGGAGCTGGCCTGTGCTCTGGGACACGCAGGACTGCCAGAGCCCCTCGTACATGGCCTGGGCTGTGATGATGTTGTCCCCGGCGTAGGAGGAGATCTTCCACTCGGCCATGGCTGTGGAAGCGATGAGACCCAGGAGACCCAGAAAGGCCAGGACATACCCGAGGAGCTGGAGACCCGCGTTGGCCATCAGTGCGCTGAGTTAGAGCCCGCTGGAGTGAATGAGGAGAGCTGAGAGCTGCTGACACATGAATGAAACTCCTCCAGCATCATCATCATCATCATCATCCGCACGAGCTCGAAGCCACACCTGAAGATCCGCTCGCGCCTCCTACCGCTTCACACTCACTATAGCCGTATCCATCATGCGCTAATTTACAACGACGACAACAAAACGTATATTAAAAAAAATAATAATTATATGACAAGTTAGCCTACACAATAAAATATAACGCGGGACACAGTTTATTTTAAAATACTTCCACACATGCCAGGCAGCATAATGAAACTTGGTGTATTTACCATGGAATTTAGCTTCCATATCAACACAACATTGTGCCAAAATTTAGCAGTAGCAGAATGAAAAGGTCTTGGGTCAATTTGCATCTCTGTTGTTGTTGTTTTTTTTTTTTTTTAATTAGACGAATTTTGATATTATTTTAATCATTTTTTTTGTTTGTTTAACAGTTGATATAGTTCTTTAATGAGGATCTAACCGGGTAGGGCGGGGCATGTTGTCACACTGTGTTACAATGAGCCTCAATATGAGAACTATGCTATTGCTATTATATTAATTATATTGAAAAACCATGAGAAACAGATGCATACACACTTGAGAGTCAATGTTCAGAAATGATTTATTATTATGTTTTAAACTATATGCTGTATAGTTGTGTGTTGCGGTGTGTTAGTTGTCAAACTCAAAAATGTGTTTATTTTTAATTAATAAAAAATGACATTTTATATGAAAAAGTTAATAATTGTATTTTATTGAGAAAATATTTGCGTTATATTTGTCTTGTATTACAGTATTTGGATTAGATGTCATATGGCCATGTTACAGTGAGCGCCACCTATGGGGCATGTTGTCACACCTCACTTCCATTCTTTCAGGGCATATCAAGAAAAAAGTCAACACTGTATTAATGAAAAAAAAAAACATAATTGTACTAGACGTGTGAAATGAATGAGGGGAACCCTAGATTTACACAAACTGAGAAAGTGGAAGGCTTTAGGTTGTGTTATCTGGTCTATAATAACATAACCAAAACATTAATACATCTTTTATGGAGTGTTTTTGATAGAGAGCGTTCAGAGAACATTCAAAAGTAATGTTCCCATCATGATTGAAGAATGACACAATGTAATGTTCCCTTAATGTTCGCATAACCCTGACAGAAACAGTTTTAAAGGATATATAAAAACTGACTTAGACAATGTTGAATGTTAGAAGAAGGTTTGACTGGAACACGTGTCTGTTCATATCAGAACTATTGCACGGCTTATAGTCGATGTTAGATTATTTTAACATGATCCTAAAACAACAATATTTTTAATGAGTGGATATTGATAAGATGACAGAACCGGCAACTTTATTATGTCTCTGATATATAATAAATATGAATGAACTGATAGATGGATGTGATTAAGGGGCCGGTCGACTTGATTTGGTTTTCTTATTAAACTTCCACACAGATGTTGGGCCTGTGCAAATGTGAGACTGAATTGTAAATGCTGTTGATTTATTTGCTTTTCTGGTGTTCTGCAATCCTCCTGGACTCTGTTTACTGCAGAAAAGCAAACACGTCACCCGCTGTTGCTCAACGGTGTGGGTCAGTCCATAAGTCTTGCTCTGTCCTGCATTTTCCACATCAGAACTCTTCATTAATGTTGTCGAAACTACACAAATGATATTTTGACGGGCACTCGCTGTGTTTCTGCAGTCTGAGGGGTCGAGAGTGATGTCACAGGTCGCCTGGACCAATCACAGCGAGTCTGGGATCCTCTGAGACTCACTCGTGTCTCGTCTGAGGGATCGAGAGTGATGTCACAGGTCGCCTGGACCAATCACAGCGGGGACAGATCCTCAGTCACTCGTGTCTCCTGGAGCTGTGCACTACTAGCAGCGGTACGTCTATTTCCAAAGAAACTCATTTTCATTTTCACTACTTTCACTAGTCCCCTGATCCTGTTTTATGACCAGATTTAAATGTTCGTAACTTTTTACAATGAGGTTAACATTAGTTGGTGTATTACCTAGCATAAACTAACAATGAGTAATACATTTGTTACTGCGTTTGTTAATAATATAATCCAGCAGTGTGTTCATGGGAGTTCACAGTGCATAACTAATGTTAATTAATACAACCTTTGATTTTAATAATGTGTTAGTAAATGTTAAAATTAATATGAACTAATTAATTAAGTATTGTTCATTCTTCAACTAATGTTAACTATTTTTCCTTATTGTAAAGTGTTATTACTGTTACCAAATGTTCTTTTTGGATAATATCAATATAAATACTTTTCATTGGAATAAAAAAGCCGATAAATGAGGTCCGAACAATTCAAGACCATTCCAATAGACAACATTATTTTACAGCTTTTATTAATCTAGGTTAATGCCAACTTGTTAATTCAATGTTTACGCAATAATAATGTCGTGTTAGTTCAACTTAATGCTTTAAGAAACACTATCTAACATTGAGCAATTCATCTGTTACAGTATTTTAGTAATCTTTGTTAATATTAGTTAATAAAAAGAACTGTTCAATGTTAGTTCATTCGTTCAAGAAGTACAAGTTAATAAATGTTATACTGATAATAAGTTAGTAAATGTTGACATTAACATTAACGAAGATTTATATACGCTTCAGACGTATTTTTCATTCTTAGTTCATATCAGTTAGTGTGGTTAACTACTGTGCTAATGTTAACAAGGGTTAATGTGTGTAAAAGTAATGAAGTAAAGAACACACACGGATAAAAGTGTCTGCCGAAGTGTGTACCTTTCATTTACTGAAGTCCTGATGTGCATTAGATGACATCAGCGTGTTTTCTTCTGTAATGAATCTTTGCAGAGATCTTTGAATCGTAGGTAACATTAACAGAGAGAAAAACGCTATTATATGCGACTGACCTGTGTCGTTTCTGTTCCCAGAAGTCATGAGCAAACTGTGGTGTGCGCTTCTGCTGGTCCTGACCCAGCTCCACCGCGGCCGTGGCTGTCCCGGCCCGTGCCAGTGCTTCTCGCCCGCTAAGGTGGTGTGCGCAGACGAGGCCATGACCGCGCTACCGCTCAACATCTCCGCTCAGGCCAGAGAGCTGATCGTGGTGGCGTCGGGCGTCACGCATCTGGACGGACGCTCCTTCAGGGAGGACCTCAGACTCAGCAAACTGGTGCTCCTCAACGGCCAGCTGCGGTCGGTCTCGGGCGACGCCTTCGAGCGGCTGCGGGAGCTGCGGGAGCTGGAGATCAGCGGGAACCCCTTGCTGGCGCTTCGAGAGCCGGCCTTCGCCTCGCTGGCCAACCTCACAACACTGATGCTCAACCACAACAACATCGGCGCTCTGGCCGCCCGCATCTTCGAGGCTCTGCAGAAGCTGGAGAGGCTGCAGTTGAAGGGGAACGGCTTGCTGTCTCTTCCCGGTCGTCCCTTCCATCGGCTCCCCAATCTGCAGGAGCTGGACCTGTCCTTCAACCAGATCGACTCGCTCCCGGCGGATGTGTTCCAGAACAACTCTCTCCTGAGGGCGCTCTCGCTGCAGGCCAACATGATCCCGCAGCTTCCGGAGGGGATCTTCTCCCACCTGGATCTCCTGGAGGAGCTGAACCTCCGAGGCAACCGCATCCGCGAGCTGAGCGCCGACGTGTTCCCGCACAGCCTCCGCAAGCTCATCCTCAAGAGCAACCATCTGGCGCAGCTCCACCCCTCGCTCTTCCACAAACTGCTGCTCGTCACCCATCTGGACCTGTCTCAGAATCAGCTCTCCGGGGTCCCTGCGAACCTCTTCCAGAACCTCATCTCGCTCAAAAAGCTGGATCTGTCCGAGAACCGGATTACGACGCTCCCCGGCACCGTCTTCAAAGGGCTGTTTGGTGTGAAAGCCATCCATCTGCAGAAGAACAACCTGAGCTCTCTGGAGGAGGACCTGCTGAAGGACCAGCACGGGCTGGAGCAGCTGTACCTGTCCATGAACCGCCTACGGAGAGTCCCGCACGGCTTCTTCGACGACCTGGACTACCGGTGCCTCGTTCAGCTCCACGGGAACCCCTGGCGCTGCGACTGCGGGATACAATACCTCTCCGAATGGATCAGGGACAACCTCAGGAACGTGGAGGACGTGACGCAGGTTTACTGTCACGCTCCCGAGTTTATCCGAGGGCACAGCCTGGTGTCCGTGGACGAGGAGCGGCTCGTCTGCGGGAAAAACTCCAGCTCCTCCGACACGAACTCCACAGGGATCGCAGTTGATGGCGATGGTGGCGTTCACTGCTCGATCCGAGATTTCAAAGGACAGACAACCATTCAGTGCAAACTCACTAAATGCACCAGCGTGAAGTTTCAGGCCCTTTTTGAATTTGGGGATGGAAGTGACTCGGAAAGAGTCGTGAGCAAAGAGTGGCCAGCGCCTGCCGGTTGCGCCAACGGGACAACTATGGCTGAATCCCAGTTCACCCCTTGGCCCCCTTGGGGTTGAAATAATCCCCCCACGAAATGGAACAACCCTTCATCAGTCGTCGAGTTTTAACAGGATTTCTCCATGACAACAACTGACAATCAGTGCAACTGCTCTTAACTTTGAATAAACATGATGATTTTTCTGATCGGAAAGGTAATTTATTATTCCATTTGTTAATTTAAACGACTATAGTGTTATTATAAGAGTAAATAAAGTGCGTGGTGGAATCATCTGACGCAAAATTTAAATGTTTAACCGTTTGCGAAGGCATCTCGCCGGTGATTTGCGATGCATCTGTGAACTTTCTCGTGGAAAAATCCCCTTTTCGAGGGCTATGTAGCCCTACCCCTCGATCTCAACCAGAATCAGGACACCCTACCCCTAGACGTGAACGTGCAAAACGGAGGGGAAGGGCCAAGGGGTGAATTGGGATTGAGCCTTAGTGCGCTCATTTAACACACACGGCAAAGAACCAACCGGCATACACTCTCAGAAAACAGAGCGCTAATACAGTTAGGTACTGTTTATGTCCCTGTAAAGCCTGACATACGAAATGATAGTAAAAAATATCCTTTTTTTTCTTTTTCGAAAATGGAACATTTAAGGTTGGTTGAACCTTTAGAAAAATACTAAATATATATGAACAAAAAGAACAATATTTGTTTGCATATGTGTTTTAGGTTTTATATATTATATTTGGTACATCAGACTTTTATGGCTCAAATATTCTGATATCCCGAGAATATGGAGGGAAACAGCTCAAGTTTATTTGGAGGCTCAAACTGAGCAAAAATATGTGATTTGGTACTGACTTCTGATGCTTGTAATGTAAATCAATGAGATATTTATAGCAGTGTAGCAGATAACATTCATATAAATATGGGTAATCACTCTAGATCTGCCAATATGTCTTAGTAAGATAATATTATAATGCTTAGTTTTATGATCAAAGCTCTGTACAGTAGTTATGTGTAATGCAATGCAATGATGATTGAGAGACGAACAAATAAACATTTCTCAATTTTCTATAAAATGATGTGGATAATCAAGTAAGACTCAGTTGCTTCCGTCCAGTAAGTGTTCTTCTTGAAATATAACAACAATATCAAAGTTATTTTTACATTTGCATGAGAAAAAATTGCTAAATATTTCACAGGTTTGCACTATTATACCAAAAGCCATTTTACTTGTATGGTTGAAGTGCTCCTTTGAACTTTTAGGGTGAATAAAGTATAAACTTGTCGCTTTAAGGGTTCTGCCCCACTGACAACCCTTTTCGCCATCTTTTGCGAGAGTCCCTGACTGCTTTGACCCAGCAAACAAATTTAGTTTTTGGTTCCCAGAACGTTCCTAGACCCTTAAGGTTAGGGGAACGTTCCTGAAACGTTCTCCTTGCGTTATAAAAATGGAACCTAAAAATAACCTACATGGAACATTCCTAGTTCTTGTTTGGTTCCCAAAAAAACACCTCATGGGACCATTTGGGAACGTTAGGGGAACGTTCTGTGTTTGCTGGGGATGCAGATCTGATTCTGTCCATGGGTGTGTGTTAATGACTAACCCAAGCGTGAGCCAGACTCATGACAGCGGAGGCGAATCAATGAGGGGACGTGATAAGAGAGGTGGATGAACTGGACCCGTGCGGGTCAAAGAACAGTCACGCATCCACAACACAGGCCCCGTTCACTCCTGCTATTATTATTATTATTAACGGGATCGCATTCCCATTTACAGCTGGTGTTTTAATCCTGTAGTTTCTCATCTTCAAACCAAACTTGGGTAAATCCCGTCTGGCTAGTGCGCGTCCCGTTCACACATGAGGTCGGTCGGCAGAGAGTAGGCGTTCTGCAGGTCTCATCTCTAAGGTCTCTGTTTGCAGGTCACTCGACCACATGAGAGATTACACTACGAAAGCAAGTCGAATGCGTTTTCGACTATCTCTGGAAGTGTTGGAGACCTGTAGACCTGTAATTAGCATCGACTCCTTGTGATCCGATCGACCAAAACGCATCTGAACACCAGCAGTAAACAGGGCCACACTAGCTGAACCATTCATTCATTAGTTTTACTCCTCTTATTAAAGCAATATTTAGCAATGACTTGCCATGGACTGACTGTTTCAAACACTGGTCAAGCTGATGTTGTTCAACACCAAAACGGAGCGTCTCTTTCCCCTTCTCAGGGAACCCGGTTGCACACACAACCTGAGATGTTTTAAATCTTGAATTTTCAAAAACACATCATTCTCCTCATATTCTCCATTGTTGCGGCTCCTCTCTTCCCAGTCTGTCAGTAACGCTCTGTTTACTTCCCGTCTCTATAAGGCCCCTCCTCCTGAAAAGCACGCCGTGCTCTGATTGGTCGGCTGGATCAGTGTGTTTGGGAAATGTCCCGCCCCTTTCCATAACCGCCAGTTTAACACACTACTAACTAACTCAACCAGGCCCCGCCTCTTTATTGCACCTATTAATTATTATAATGAGGAGGAATAAACTCAAGACTACAACTGAGGCGTTTCAAACTCCACTTGATTTGAGTGACTTTGAAACTTTACTCACTAAAGAACTCAAACTATATAATAAGACTCCTTTAAACTTGTCTTAGCTTGCCCACAGCAGACATCATTATCAGGGCAGGAAGATCTGATGGCTGCAGTGCTGTCAGCTCACCTGTAGGGGGCGTATCGCACACAGAAGCAGCTCGTTCATCAGGGTTAGCCGTAGCCGACGACACATGAATCAGTGCAGGAACGAGACCTCCTCCTCCTCGAGCCGTGATGTGCTCACTGTCTGATGTCTGGAGTCAATCATTGACCAGCTATCAGACATCGCCACACACAAACACACGTCATGTAATGCCACATTCCTGCGCTTCCAGAAGACCAATGAGCGGCTGTCTTCAAGTGTCTCATGTGACTAACAGCGTTCGGTTACACACCTACAACAATGAGCAAAAGGTGAACGCTAACGTGATGTTGAGCCGGAGGACGGTTGTATTACTCCTTGAAGACAGAAACCAGACAATAGTGGACATCCAGATGACATCTACACTGCAAACGTGATGTTCTTCCTCTGTATTATGGAGAAGAAAAAAGTCAATGGTGTCAGAAAAATAAACCTTATTCAACTCCACTGGCACTTCATTTTGATACATTTTTCAAAACCTCAAGAAATTTGCTCCTCAAGTCTAAATTTAAGAACGTTTGGATATTTGTACTGCAAAACAAGAAAAATACTGAGGAAGAAATATGTTTATGCAGTGTAGCCATTGATTAGACACATCTGAGACGTACACATGATCTCAGTGTTGAGACAAACGATAAAGAGATGTTATTTAACGATAAAGTGTTTTTTATTTTTTTTAAATGTGTTGTTAACTTTGTTATATATATATATAAAGTAATATTAACAAAAAAACTAAGCATTTTGTTAGATTGTACTTCTTGTTTCGTGTAAGTTTCATCTTGGATTTTACTGTGTTTCTGAACTGATGAGAGTTTTCGTTGTTGAATGATGTGGCGATGAGAGCTTGTGTGTTTCTAAGCACATCATATTGATGGTTCAGTGCGTTTGTGTTTGTCTTGAATATCTCATTCGGCCGATCAGTGTGTGTGTGTGTGTGTGTGTGTGGAGGAATCTGCTGGTATTGTTGGAGTCCCTTCCCCCATCCTCATGTGTGTGTGTGTGTGAGGCAGGGAGGCTCATGGGAACAGCAGTGGAGGGAGAACGAGAGCAGAGGGAGGATCCGTCTTTCTTTTCACTAACTCCGAGTTGAGAAGAGACTAACGAGAAAGCAATGATCTGCTCGGATCGGGACTAAAGTTTGAGTCTTCAGCACAGACGGCCCGCAGCAGATCTACAACTAAACTATGACAACGTGAAGTGAGATTCCTTTCCCTCTCCTCACCTCACAAACACAAGACCAGCCAACTCTCCCGCAAGCCAAGGTAAGCTCTCTCGCTCGCTCTCTCTCTCTGTTCTCATGAATCAGTCTTCACACTGCGTTCAGGGCTTTTATTGATCCCGATGACAGCTGTATTGAATGGCTCAGATCGGTGTGTGTGTGTGTGTGTGTTCTCTTCCAGAGCTTCAAGGGTTTCTTACTTGCGTCTCATTCAAGTATCAGAGGGGTTTCCCCCCTAAAATATCAAGACACAAATGAGTCGTTAAGAACAAGATGAAAATGTTATTTCTGAATGTTTTCGAGGTTATGTGAGCATTAAGGAAACATTCAATTCCATTATTCTGCAAACATTATGGGACATTACTTTCAAATGTTCTGAAATTACTTGAAACATTTAAAAAAACATTAAACGAGTGTCCAGATACGTTTCAGATAAAGCACTCAGTGAATGATGTATCAATAATGTTTTTGTTCTAATGTTTTAAAAACATTATTAAAGGACAGATAACTTTGAACAAATATTCTTTAAGTTTTCAGGAAGAACGTTTGTTCATAACTATCATAGAGTTCTGATAGAGTTCTGCAAGAGTCCTGAAAGAGTTCTGATAGAGTCCTGAAAGAGTTATGATACAGTTCTAATAGAGTTCTAATATAGTTCTGCTAGAGTTCTGATAGAGTTCTGATAGAGATACAGTTCTAATAGAGTTCTGATGGAGTTCTTATAAGTCCTGATAGAGTTCTGTTAGAGTTCTGATAGAGTCCTGATAGAGTTCTAATAGAGTTCTGATAGAGTTCTGTTAGAGTTCTGCAAGAGTCCTGATAGAGTTCTAATAGAGTTCTAATAGAGTTCTGATAAGAGTCCTGAAAGAGTTATGATACAGTTCTAATAGAGTTCTGATAGAGTTCTAATAGAGTTCTGCAAGAGTCCTGATAGAGTTCTAATAGAGTTCTGATAGAGTTCTGTTAGAGTTCTGCTAGAGTTCTAATAGAATTCTGATAGAGTTTTGATAGAAGTTATGCAAGAGTTCTGGTAGAGTCCTGATAGAGTTCTGTTAGAGTTCTGCTGGAGTTCTGCTAGAGTCCTGATAGAGTTCTGATAGAAGTTATGCAAGAGTTCTGGTAGAGTCCTGATAGAGTCCTGATAGAGTTCTGTTAGAGTTCTGCTGGAGTTCTGCTAGAGTCCTGATAGAGTTCTGATAGAGTCCTGAAAGAGTTATGATACAGTTATAAAAACAGTTCTGATAGAGTTCTGCTAGGGTTCTGATAGAGTTCTGCTAGTATCCTGTTAGGGTCATAATAGAGTTCTGCTAGAGTTCTGCTAGAGTTCTAATAGAGTTCTGATAGAAGTTCTAATAGAGTTCTGATAGAGTCCTGATAGAGTTCTGATAGAGTTCTGCTAGAGTCCTGATAGAGTTCTGATATAGTTCTGCTAGAGTTCTGATAGAAGTTCTAATAGAGTTCTGATAGAGTCCTGCTAGAGTTCTGATAGAGTTCTGCTAGAGTCCTGATAGAGTTCTGATAGAGTTTTGATAGAGTTCTGATAGAGTTCTGCTAGAGTCCTGATAGAGTTCTGAATAGAGTTCTGATAGAGTCCTGATAGAGTTCTAATAGAGTTCTGCTAAAGTCCTGATAGAGTTATGCTAGAGTTCTGATAAGAGTCCTGGTAGAGTTCTGATAGAGTCCTGATAGAGTTCTGATAGAGTTCTGCTAGAGTCCTGATAGAGTCCTGATATAGTTCTGCTAGAGTTCTTATAGAGTCCTGATAGAGTTCTGATAGAGTTCTGATATAGTTCTGCTAGAGTCCTGATAGAGTCCTGATAGAGTTCTGCTAGAGTTCTGATATAGTTATGATATAGTTCTGCTAGAGTTCTGCTAGAGTTCTGATAGAGTCCTGATAGAGTCCTGATAGAGTTCTGATAGAGTTCTGATATAGTTCTGCTAGAGTTCTGATAGAGTTCTGATAGAGTCCTGATAGAGTTCTGATAGAGTTCTAATAGAGTCCTGATAGAGTTCTGCTAGAGTTCTGCTAGAGTTCTTATAGAGTTCTGATATAGTTCTTATAGAGTTCTGATAGAGTTCTGATAGAGTCCTGATAGAGTCCTGATATAGTTCTGCTAGAGTTCTGATAGAGTCCTGATAGAGTCCTGATAGA